CGGCCATGAAACACAAAACACACACACACACACTCATCAGACACACACGCATTTAAAAACTACAGCTACTGAATAACAATGAGAACTAGGATTTATAAATCATGACTGCAGGCTGTGTTTCATTTACTGTCATAACTGAATGTGCACTACTAGAAACATACAAAACAATGTGGTGTTACCAGGGTTATTATAGTTAACCAAAACCATAAAACTATTTTTGTTACTTGAAATAAAAATGCATTTTGAAAAATACATTTGTATATATATTTTTAATTTGAAATAGAAATCTTGTGTGTCATTATAAGTGTCTTTACTGTCACTTTAATAAAATACTTAAATAAAATAATAAAATACTTTCAATTAAATAAAACTGAAAATATATAAAAACAAATTCAGAATTTTTATAAAAATACAATAGCATTGATATATGATACTAAAGAATAAATATGATACTAAAATAACCTGCGTGTTACATAAACACTGTTCAAGCTGGATATTGTCCATGTGAGTGGGGTCAGTGAGATATACTTTTGAAAAAATTAGATGAATCATTCATCATTCATCAAGGATGCATGCTAGTGTACTATTTTACTTCTGTAATGATGTATTTGTGAGTGCTGTTATGATAATGGTTCAGTAAGTGTCTGACCTTTGGTCGTTAGTCCTCCAAAACGTTCCGGCTCGTCCTTCTTCTTATGGTGACCTCCTGATTTCGCGCTGTGATTGGCTGCTTGGATGTGGAATTTCTCAGCTCCAGGAACCTCTTTGTGCACGTGATACGACAGATTACGCAAGATACAGACGCAGTTCTCCACCGACTGCGGAAAAAACACACGAGAAACACAGGTGTAAGACTGAGAGGAAGCCTTCAAAACCAGGAGAAATGCACAAATATGATTCAAACACACTGCAGGAGAGATGCACATAGAGCATCATATAACATAAAAACAAATGTGTATTATTTTTTAAAATAATAATAATAACAATAACAATAATAATTATTATTATTTAGTTTTGCTTAAAGTTTAGTTTATAAATTATTATTATTAAAGTAAACTCAACTGGAATTAAAAAGTACATAGTAATAATAATAACAATAATAATAATATTAACCATTATTATTATATTGAATAAAATCACATAGTATAATTTTAAAATAATAATAATAATTTAGTTTTAGTTAATAATAATAATAATAATTAAAATATGAGAAATCAGATTTCATTTTAAGTGAAATATAATTAATAATAATAATAATAATAATAACAATATTGTTTATATTATTATATTAAATGAACTTACATAATAATAATAATAAATATTTAGTTTTAGTTAATAATAATAATAATGTTTATTATTATTATTTTTTTTTTAGTTTTGTTTAAATTTTAGTTTATAAATTATTATTTTTATTATTATTAAAGTAAACTCAACTGGAATTAAAAAGTAAATAGTAATAATAATAATAATAATAATAATAACAATATTGTTTATATTATTATATTAAATGAACTTACATAATAATAATAATAAATATTTAGTTTTAGTTAATAATAATAATAATGTTTATTATTATTATTTTTTTTTTAGTTTTGTTTAAATTTTAGTTTATAAATTATTATTTTTATTATTATTAAAGTAAACTCAACTGGAATTAAAAAGTAAATAGTAATAATAATAATAATAATAATAATAACAATATTGTTTATATTATTATATTAAATGAACTTACATAATAATAATAATAAATATTTAGTTTTAGTTAATAATAATAATAATGTTTATTATTATTATTTTTTTTTTAGTTTTGTTTAAATTTTAGTTTATAAATTATTATTTTTATTATTATTAAAGTAAACTCAACTGGAATTAAAAAGTAAATAGTAATAATAATAATAATAATAATAATAACAATATTGTTTATATTATTATATTAAATGAACTTACATAATAATAATAATAAATATTTAGTTTTAGTTAATAATAATAATAATGTTTATTATTATTATTTTTTTTTTAGTTTTGTTTAAATTTTAGTTTATAAATTATTATTTTTATTATTATTAAAGTAAACTCAACTGGAATTAAAAAGTAAATAGTAATAATAATAATAATAATAATAATAACAATATTGTTTATATTATTATATTAAATGAACTTACATAATAATAATAATAAATATTTAGTTTTAGTTAATAATAATAATAATGTTTATTATTATTATTTTTTTTTTAGTTTTGTTTAAATTTTAGTTTATAAATTATTATTTTTATTATTATTAAAGTAAACTCAACTGGAATTAAAAAGTAAATAGTAATAATAATAATAATAATAATAATAACAATATTGTTTATATTATTATATTAAATGAACTTACATAATAATAATAATAAATATTTAGTTTTAGTTAATAATAATAATAATGTTTATTATTATTATTTTTTTTTTAGTTTTGTTTAAATTTTAGTTTATAAATTATTATTTTTATTATTATTAAAGTAAACTCAACTGGAATTAAAAAGTAAATAGTAATAATAATAATAATAATAATAATAACAATATTGTTTATATTATTATATTAAATGAACTTACATAATAATAATAATAAATATTTAGTTTTAGTTAATAATAATAATAATGTTTATTATTATTATTTTTTTTTTAGTTTTGTTTAAATTTTAGTTTATAAATTATTATTTTTATTATTATTAAAGTAAACTCAACTGGAATTAAAAAGTAAATAGTAATAATAATAATAATAATAATAATAACAATATTGTTTATATTATTATATTAAATGAACTTACATAATAATAATAATAAATATTTAGTTTTAGTTAATAATAATAATAATGTTTATTATTATTATTTTTTTTTTAGTTTTGTTTAAATTTTAGTTTATAAATTATTATTTTTATTATTATTAAAGTAAACTCAACTGGAATTAAAAAGTAAATAGTAATAATAATAATAATAATAATAATAACAATATTGTTTATATTATTATATTAAATGAACTTACATAATAATAATAATAAATATTTAGTTTTAGTTAATAATAATAATAATGTTTATTATTATTATTTTTTTTTTAGTTTTGTTTAAATTTTAGTTTATAAATTATTATTTTTATTATTATTAAAGTAAACTCAACTGGAATTAAAAAGTAAATAGTAATAATAATAATAATAATAATAATAACAATATTGTTTATATTATTATATTAAATGAACTTACATAATAATAATAATAAATATTTAGTTTTAGTTAATAATAATAATAATGTTTATTATTATTATTTTTTTTTTAGTTTTGTTTAAATTTTAGTTTATAAATTATTATTTTTATTATTATTAAAGTAAACTCAACTGGAATTAAAAAGTAAATAGTAATAATAATAATAATAATAATAATAACAATATTGTTTATATTATTATATTAAATGAACTTACATAATAATAATAATAAATATTTAGTTTTAGTTAATAATAATAATAATGTTTATTATTATTATTTTTTTTTTAGTTTTGTTTAAATTTTAGTTTATAAATTATTATTTTTATTATTATTAAAGTAAACTCAACTGGAATTAAAAAGTAAATAGTAATAATAATAATAATAATAATAATAACAATATTGTTTATATTATTATATTAAATGAACTTACATAATAATAATAATAAATATTTAGTTTTAGTTAATAATAATAATAATGTTTATTATTATTTTATTTTTTTAGTTTTGTTTAAATTTTAGTTTATAAATTATTATTTTTATTATTATTAAAGTAAACTCAACTGGAATTAAAAAGTAAATAGTAATAATAATAATAATAATAATAATAACAATATTGTTTATATTATTATATTAAATGAACTTACATAATAATAATAATAAATATTTAGTTTTAGTTAATAATAATAATAATGTTTATTATTATTTTATTTTTTTAGTTTTGTTTAAATTTTAGTTTATAAATTATTATTTTTATTATTATTAAAGTAAACTCAACTGGAATTAAAAAGTACATAGTAATAATAATAACAATAATAATAATATTAACCATTATTATTATATTGAATAAAATCACATAGTATAATTTTAAAATAATAATAATAATTTAGTTTTAGTTAATAATAATAATAATAATTAAAATATGAGAAATCAGATTTCATTTTAAGTGAAATATAATTAATTTTTTCCCTTGTTTTTGGTGTGAAATGTGAGGTGATCAGCTCATGTGCAGGTGTGCTGTGGCCTGCATTTCTATTTAAATTCTTACTTTGTTATTTATGTCCCTCTTGGCGACAGCAGAATAGAGTGCGTGCAGCAGAGCGTCCACCAGCCCGTCACACTCACGCAGTCTCTGTCGAGCTTCAGCTCCGTCTGAACTCACGTTCCTGCAAACACACGAGCGCAACATAATCCTGCTGCAGTCTGACAGATCAGAGCAATGAAAAACCGCTTAACCCTCAGAACGCATTCAGGTTGTTTTGATCTGGAAGATATACTATTTTTTTTTTAAATGCATAGACTTAAAAAAACTTACACATTATGGCTATGATGACTTAACTATAAAATCAGAAATGCACCAAATATGCACACACACTGAGCTTCTGATGTTAAACTATTCACTTTATTATGATAAACACATTACGACGACTGCCTAGGCGGTTCTCATTAAGTTTTCCTTTCCATCTTTCACCAACTGCAGTTAAAATAAAATAAAATAAAATAAGGCATTCTAAAAAAAATAGTCTGCAAAAAGCATCTGTCCCAATCAAAATAAACAACATAAAAATGTCTGTCCAACTGTATATATTATTGACACTATTCAGACTTTAGGGGTTAAATGGATCGAAGTTGATCCGTGATCCATACTGATCATGAATTTAATGTTTTAAAATGAATACAATTTTGAATAGTAAGAGAAAAAGAATTACACTTTTAAAAATTACACTAAAACCAGTAGGTGGCAGCAAATAACAGAGAGACGAGGCAGCGCAGATCGCGTGTCTCATAAGTGGAATTTACCGAACGTGGCACTTGCGGGAGTTAACACTGTATGCAATACCCGCAACCTCACACCAAATTTCAGGCCGTGTAGATAGGCAAGCATATATACAAATCATTTAGTATCCTGTATTTTTGATCAAATAAATGCAGCCTTGATGAGCAGAAGAGACTCCTGTAAAAAACATAAAAAATCGTTCTGATCCCAAACTTTTGACCGGTAGTGTATATACTAGAAAACAAGACAAAAATACTAAGGAAATCATTTTTTGCAGTGTATTTTCTTATATAGCACATTTCTACTGCCACAAGAGCAGCCCAAAGTGCTATACAATGCATTCAAGAAGACCGAACAAAGACAGTAACAAACACAGCATCTTAAAAGAAAAAACTAATATTACGTCTCCTCCTAAATCAGACACAAACGGCATGATATAAAAGTGCTTCTTCAAAGCCGTTTTAAAAGCGAACAAAGACGGGGCAGAGCGAATGGCTAGAGGTAAGTTATTCTATAACCGAGGACCGGCTGTCGAAAAGAATAGAGTTTGAAAGTTTTAAAGATTACATTTTGAATGTTTTCAAGGCAATACAGTCTATCAGAAAAAACAGATAAAACAGATAGTAAAAATCATTACTAAGGCCTTGAAATCGATCCGATATCTAACACGTAACCATTGCAAGAATGCTAAAATTGGAGTTAATCTATCCCTCTTTCTGTGGTTCTATCCCTATTCTATGGTTCTATTCTATCTCTGTCCAATGTGGTTAAAAAAAATCAGTCAAACATTTAGATATCAAACATATTTATTCTGTGTCTCTTTTTGCAAAACATTTAATTGCCGCTGAATACCATGAACAAAAATCAGCAGGCTACATAGGCTACATAATCGATTAAGAACTGTTTGCGTGCAAAATAGAGCGGCGTGATTCTGGATACATTGAGACTTTTGAGACTTTTATAAATGGAGGTTGTAGTTCTCTCTCAATTCTGAAGAAAAAAATATAAGACGAGTAAAAATCTCATGGAATTTATAATTGGAATGATTCAATGACTCACTCAAGATTTAGTTTCATTACTGGATGAATCAGTGTTTTTGAATAAATCTCTTGAATGAATGACTCAAAGACAAATACATTTTTAAGGACATCTAAAAAAAAGATGCGCACATGAGAATTGATAGGTGGAATTTAAATTTAAATTTTACAACAAGTATCCGATTCTGGAATTGGAATTGATTTTCGATTTCCAACCCTAGTCGGGTGTGCTGTGGAAAATTATCAAAAACTTCCTTATCTCTATTATATTTCGTTATTATTATTTTAAATCAGTGCTATGCCAACGTTATGTCTGTTTGTGGGTTTTACAAATATTTAACCAATGAAAAGCATTCAAATGAGCTTGTGACTAAACCTCGTAACGCCATTGGATCCTCAAACTGTCAGTCAAACCTCATAACTCCGCTCTCGGACTTCCAGGTCGTCGGATCTCCTCAGGAGCCTCAGCAGCGCAGGAATGCCGTCCGAGTTCTTGATGGCCACCTTGCTGAAGTTGTCCCGGCCAAAGGAGATGTTCCTCAGTGCGCCGCAGGCCTTGCGGTGGACCTCGGCTTTGGGATGATCCAGGAGCCCCACCAGGACGGGGATTCCTCTGAGCTGCCGGATGTCCTGCTTGACCGTGTCGTTTTCGTAGCAGAGGTGCTGCAGATACGCGGCGGCGTTGGACTTCACCGGGTCCATGGGGTGGCTCAGCATGGAGATGACCTCCCGCAGGTTCGGATCCCGCCAGCGCGGATCCTTGCGGATGGTGTCGAGGCTCACCATGCTGGCGCGTTTCTGCGGGATGAGCGTCTGCGCACGGTACAGGTCCTGGAAACAGGGATGGACCATTAATTAAAAAAAGAATCGAAACCAAAATTCAGAACCTCTAACCCAGTGTTTCCCAACCACTGTGACAGGTTGTCGGGTGTTGCTCAATTCAAATTCTGATTCTGATTCTTATTCTTATTGATTCCCAGTTTCGATTCCAATTAGTTTAGTTTACACTGCAAAAAATTATCCTGTATTTTTGATCAAATAAATGCAGCCTTGATGAGCAGAAGAGACTCCTGTAAAAAACATAAAAAATCGTTCTGATCCCAAACTTTTGACCGGTAGTGTATATACTAGAAAACAAGACAAAAATACTAAGGAAATCATTTTTTGCAGTGTATTTTCTTATATAGCACATTTCTACTGCCACAAGAGCAGCCCAAAGTGCTATACAATGCATTCAAGAAGACCGAACAAAGACAGTAACAAACACAGCATCTTAAAAGAAAAAACTAATATTACGTCTCTCCTAAATCAGACACAAACGGCATGATATAAAAGTGCTTCTTCAAAGCCGTTTTAAAAGCGAACAAAGACGGGGCAGAGCGAATGGCTAGAGGTAAGTTATTCTATAACCGAGGACCGGCTGTCGAAAAGAATAGTTATATCAGCAATAGTTTATCAGCAGATCTTAAGCTCTTTACTGGTTTATGTAAAGTAGCAAGATCTGACAAATACGAGGGCGCGAGAACATTTAAAATTTAAAAAATCATTACTAAGGCCTTGAAATCGATCCGATATCTAACACGTAACCATTGCAAGAATGCTAAAATTGGAGTTAATCTATCCCTCTTTCTGTGGTTCTATCCCTATTCTATGGTTCTATTCTATCTCTGTCCAATGTGGTTAAAAAAAATCAGTCAAACATTTAGATATCAAACATATTTATTCTGGGTCTCTTTTTGCAAAACATTTAATTGCCGCTGAATACCATGAACAAAAATCAGCAGGCTACATAAAAACTGGACTCGATTAAGAACTGTTTGCGTGCAAAATAGAGCGGCGTGATTCTGGATACATTGAGACTTTTTTTTTTTTTATAAATGGAGGTTGTAGTTCTCTCTCAATTCTGAAGAAAAAAATATAAGACGAGTAAAAATCTCATGGAATTTATAATTGGAATGATTCAATGACTCACTCAAGATTTAGTTTCATTACTGGATGAATCAGTGTTTTTGAATAAATCTCTTGAATGAATGACTCAAAGACAAATACATTTTTAAGGACATCTAAAAAAAAGATGCGCACATGAGAATTGATAGGTGGAATTTAAATTTAAATTTTACAACAAGTATCCGATTCTGGAATTGGAATTGATTTTCGATTTCCAACCCTAGTCGGGTGTGCTGTGGAAAATTATCAAAAACTTCCTTATCTCTATTATATTTCGTTATTATTATTTTAAATCAGTGCTATGCCAACGTTATGTCTGTTTGTGGGTTTTACAAATATTTAACCAATGAAAAGCATTCAAATGAGCTTGTGACTAAACCTCGTAACGCCATTGGATCCTCAAACTGTCAGTCAAACCTCATAACTCCGCCCCGCCTCCATTCAGAATAAAGCGCCGCGACGCGCAGTTTGAAGACAGACGTCTACTTCTTCACAATGAAAGGGTAAATAAAGAACTGATGTTTGAATAAGAGCAGCGTTTTCTTTACTCACTTTAAACGCTGTCTATAAAGGCACATTTTTTGTGTTTAAAGAGCAGAGAAGAGTCTTAGCATTGGCTGTCTAGTTGTAGCCAATACAATTTTGTACGTTTTAAATATCCTGTGCATAGTGGTTCATCGTTTATATCGTGAGATTTTGGCCAAATGTATTAAACAACAAGAGAAACTGAGCTCCCATATAGCTACAATAAACTTATAACCTGCAAACTGATGAAAACGTAATGCGATTACAGATGCTATCTATCTATCTTTTTTAATGCTTAGTGGTGTGCCGTGGGATTTTTTTACATATCAAAACTGTGCCGCGGCAGAAAAAAGGTTGGGATACACTGCTCTAACCGACGTAATTTTCCCATGTTGGTTATTTCGTTTTTTTAATTAAAAACATACTGTACTTAAAATACTTAAGTAATACATACTTAAAAACATAAAAACAGACCTTTATTACTTTTTATTGTTTTTAAATATGTCTAGTTCTTATTATTTTTTATTTCAGTTTTATTTATTTTAGTACATCAAATAAAACTAAATTAAAGTGAGAAATGTTGCCGTGTCAACAAGCTGAAATAAAGTAAGTTAAAAAATTTTATGTTTTGCTTGATTTCAGTTAACATTTATTTATTTATTTTATTTCCAGTCACAAAAATGTTTTTATGGATTTAGTTTTAGTTACAGTCTTAGTTATTTTGTTTGCAAGAGATGCTGGTTATTTTCTACTTTCGACATGGTAATATTCATTTACTGTATTTTGTTTGCAAAAAATGAAAGATAAGAAATGCACTCTTTCATTAGAAAAAAATATCCCACCTTTAATAGTTAGGTTTGTACAATACAGTACAAACCTTTATTGAACGAGGGCAAAATTTATAAAAATAAAATAAAATAAAATAAAATAAAATAAAATTAATTAAAATAAAATAAAATAAAATAAGATAAAATGGGATCAAATAAAATAAAATAAAAAATCGTTCAATAATCGTAATCAAGGTAAAGTGTTCAATTAATGGAGGTTATGATTTTAGGTCATATCACCCAGCTCTACCTGTAAATATGTGTGGGTGGTCAGGTCCAGCGCGGGCCTCATGTGATGCACTGTGTCCGGCTCCGGTTTGGAAGCGGCGCGGGCGAAACCCTCGCGGTGGAGCGGCAGAGTGTAGCAGTTCTCCGGTAAGAAGGTCCGGCCGGGAAAGAAGGGTAATCCGTGCAGCAACGTGACGGCCTGAGCGTTCAGCGTGCCGTACAGAGACGGCGGATCCGTGGGAATCTCGTTGGGAGGGTCAGAGGTCACGCCGGGGTCGGGGTGAGGAGGTCGAGCCGTGTGTGTATCGTCCTTCTCGCCGGAGGAGTCGGGAGGCGGCGCTTGATCCGGACACTGAACATCCGGATGCGGTGTCTGGGATTCTTCCAACCCTTCAGATGAAGCTTCCTACAGAGAAAAATAAAAAAATATAAACACGATTTGAGGAATCATTCATGTCTGGATTTGACACTTCCCAGCAAAAAAAAATCATTTTTTTTCCCCCATTACAAATCAAGTGTTATTTTAGTATTGTTCAGATCATATTATTATTTTTTATTATTTTTTAATTCATTTAATTTTGTATTAATTTTTATATAATTTTTTTTTTATTTTAATTCATTTTTTATATAGTTTTATTCATTTTTATTTCAGTTTTAGTTAGTTTAGTGCATCTTAATGAACAACTTAATGAAATGAATGACAAGCTAAATAAAAATTAGAAATGTTGCCTTGTCAACTTGCTGAAACAAGAACAAAAGTTCAAGCTCTTTTATATTTTACTTGATCAGTGTTATTTTAGTATCACTGAGATAATATAGTTTTGGTTAATATTTTGAACGCTTTTATATATTTTTTGCTTTCATGTTAATTTTAGTTACAGTTTTAGTCATTTTGTTGTGTGCTTTTGTCTATATTATTAGTTATTAGTTATTTTAGTACATTAGGATAAACTAAATGAGCATGTTAAATGTTGTAAATAAAACACATTTAATTTTTCTGTTATTTTATTTCTGTTAACATTCATTTCAACTAATGAAAATGTTTTGTATGTTATCAGTGAGCTCTAATAACGCTGTTAACTGAAGCCGGATCACTGCTTTCCACAGAACGTGAAGCTGGAGCTGATGCCTGCGTGTGATGATATCCAGCACAAACTCATGAGGCACGTACCGTTGTTGGCACCGAGCATGTCGATCATGCGTCCCGGAGTGCACACGACAAGTGTTATTTTAGTATTGTTCAGATCATATTATTATTTTTTATTATTTTTTAATTCATTTAATTTTGTATTAATTTTTATATAATTTTTTTTTTATTTTAATTCATTTTTTATATAGTTTTATTCATTTTTATTTCAGTTTTAGTTAGTTTAGTGCATCTTAATGAACAACTTAATGAAATGAATGACAAGCTAAATAAAAATTAGAAATGTTGCCTTGTCAACTTGCTGAAACAAGAACAAAAGTTCAAGCTCTTTTATATTTTACTTGATCAGTGTTATTTTAGTATCACTGAGATAATATAGTTTTGGTTAATATTTTGAACGCTTTTATATATTTTTTGCTTTCATGTTAATTTTAGTTAAAGTTTTAGTAATTTTGTAGCTTTTGTCATATTTCTTAGTTTTAGTTTTATCTATATATTTATTATTTTTTATTTCAGTTTTAGTTATTTTAGTACATCAGGTTAGACTTAATGAAAATGAGAAATGAGTCCTTGGCAACAAGCTGAAATAAAATAAGTTTAAGTTTTTATTATTTTACTTCATTTCTGTTAAAGTTTATTTTATATAAAGTAAAATTTGTATGGTTTTAATTTTAGTCAACTATAATAACCCTCTTACAAATATCTAAAAATTCTTAAATAAATATACATTTACTTATTGACTATTTTAACACATAAAGTCTTGTTTTCTGAAAGATTATCAAAATTAATAATTAAAACCTACTTTTTATCAGAAGAAAAAAATCTACAATGAATCATTAGTCATAAATTATAAATGATTTGTTTATAAAAAGAATCTGTTGAAGTAATTATTTTATTGTTCTGTATCAAATGTATCAAAAATGTATCAAGTGGGTTTATGCTTAAAACAAGAAAAAATACCTGTCAGTGGGGCCAGAAAATATTCATATTTTCCCTTCGAATTAAGTTTATTAAAACCTACTTTTTATCAGAAGAAAAAATCTACAATGAATCATTAGTCATAAATTATAAATGATTTGTTTATAAAAAGAATCTGTTAAAGTAATTATTTTATTGTTCTGTATCAAATGTATCAAAAATGTATCAAGTGGGTTTATGCTTAAAACAAGAAAAAATACCTGTCAGTGGGGCCAGAAAATATTCATATTTTCCCTTCGAATTAAGTTTGTATTTCTTACTGCACTGACATATACTTTTTCAAGTTTTGAGCATAAACTCACTTAATTTTGGTAGATTTAAAAAAAAAAAAAAGACTTCTTATAGACCAAATAGTCCCCAGTAAATGTATCTTGATTTAAAAATGTTTAAATATTTGTACTGAATAAGACAGAGGAAGACATTAATTTGTTTGCAGTTTTGATGGTTTGATCAGCGAGTTACTCGTTAAACGCCACTAATGACCCGCCAGATTAATAACAACACATCGATCTGAACACATTCACAGCGTGAATGAAGATGATATTTTCTCACCTGAGAATCTGGATTCTATCAAATCTGATTTAATTTGTGTCTTACTGAGCTGTATAAATGACTGCGGGGCAGTTTTGATGAAACGGACTGAATTAAATTTAACCCTTCACCACTACACACTGCAAAAAAATTATTCTCTTACTTAGTATTTTTGTCTTGTTTTCTAGTATAAATGTGTCCCTGCAGCACAAAAGCAGTGTTAAGTCGCTGGGGTATATTTGTAGCAATAGCTAACAATACATTGTATGGGTCAAAATTATACATTTCTCTTTTATGCCAAAAATCATTAGGATATTAAGTAAAGATCATGTTCCATGAAGATATTTTGTAAATGTCCTACCGTAAATATATCAAAACTTAATGTTTGATTAGTAATATGCATTGCTAAAAACTTCATTTGGACAACTTTAAAGATGATTTTCTCAATATTTAGATTTTTTTGCACCCTCAGATTCCAGATTTTCAAATAGTTGTATCTCAGCCAAATATTGTCCGATCATAACAAACCATACATCAATGGAAATATTATTTATTCAGCTTTCAGATGATGTATAAATCTCAATTTCGAAAAATTGACACTTATAACTGGTTTTGTGCTTCATGGACACAAATATCTAAAATTTCTTGAATCAGGATTACTGTACAAGTAAAATTACTTAATATATTATGTCTTGTCGATATTATGTCGAAATGTTGCTAGTTTTTCCTTAAAACAAGCAAAAATATCAGCCAATGGGGCAAGAAAAATAATCTTGTTTAGCCTTTGAATTAAGATGATTTTTCTTGCCCCATTGGCAGATATTTTTGCTTGTTTTAAGGAAAAACTAACACAATTTTAATATTTTTTTTAGAAAGCAAGACTTAATATATTAAGTCATTTTAGTTGTCAAGTAAATGCATCTTGATTCAAGAATGTTTAGATATTTATACTAGAAAACAAGACAAAAATACTAAGTAAGTTTTGCAGTGCAATACTGAAACAAGATTATTCATATTCTTTAATACTGGCTTCTCCATTGAAAAGCATGAAAATGCAAAATTATATTTAGTTTTTTTTAGATGATGATATAAAGAAAGCGTTTGATCTGCAATATTCACCTTCAGGAGGTTGGGCACGACTTGTTCATTGGAGCTGCTGTTGGATTTGCTGTCAGGACTGGACGATTTCTCCGTCCCAAAGCCTGAACTCTCAGTCTGCAAAACATCAGAGAAATGGCTCAGCGTGAGCTCGTTAACACCTCATCATTAGCCTGCCGTTTTAGGCTTGTAAACAATATCTACTTTTTATCAGGAGAACAAAAACATCCGAAATGAATCATTTAGTCATGCATTATAAATAATTTGTTTATAAAAAGAACCTGTTAAAATAATTATTTTTTGGCTCGCAAATTCTAGTCAAACTATGAATATTTAAATCCTTTTTTTATTAATTTATTGCACTGCCTAATGAAACCGGTTATTAAGCAAATTCTTGTTTAATATAAGCAGACAGATGTTCTTCCTCAGTATTTCTCTCTTGTTTTTCAGTACAAATATCTAAACATTCTTAAATTAAGATACAGTTACTTGAGAAGCAAAGTGACTTTAGGTATTAAGTCTTGATTTCTGAAAAATGCATCATAAACGACTTTATGCTTAAAACAACAACACATATCTGTCAATGGAGTCAGAAAAGAATCACTTTCTTTTTGGATTGTTTTGTTTTCTGACCTCACTGATGGTTATTTGTTCTTATTTTAGGCATAAACTCACTTCATTTTGGTAGAATTTTCTGAAAACAAGATCTAATGCATTTACATTTACGCCTCAAGTAAATGTCTCTTTTTGACCCGGAAGATGAAACCGGTTATTAAGCAAATTCTTGTTTAATATAAGCAGACAGATGTTCTTCCTCAGTATTTCTCTCTTGTTTTTCAGTACAAATATCTAAACATTCTTAAATTAAGATACAGTTACTTGAGAAGCAAAGTGACTTTAGGTATTAAGTCTTGATTTCTGAAAAATGCATCATAAATGAGTTTATGCTTAAAACAACAACACATATCTGTCAATGGAGTCAGAAAAGAATCACTTTCTCTTTGGATTGTTTTGTTTTCTGACCTCACTGATGGTTATTTGTTCTTATTTTAGGCATAAACTCACTTCATTTTGGTAGAATTTTCTGAAAACAAGATCTAATGCATTTACATTTACGCCTCAAGTAAATGTCTCTTTTTGACCCGGAAGAGAAATAAAAAAACTCTTTAAAAAATTAGTTTTTAGTAAGGCAAGGAAACTTTGCAAAGGCTTTGAGACCCTCAAAATACACATCATTTATTTTTTTCCCAGATTTTTTACAATTATTTTTAAGAGATGTAATCATGTTTCATGATCAGGTCATTTATGGAGTACCATTAGTGTCAAAAATACGTAAAATGTAAAATTATCTAAATTAGTGTCAAAAACTTTAATAAAAAATATATTTAGCCTTTTTGCACATATCTCACACATTTTGGGTTCTGCGTTTTGCATAAATATGTACATCTATCGATGAACCACTGCAGCATGAAAAATTTATCTTTTTTTTTTTTTTACCTGAAAGTCAAAGTTTATGGAAGTAACACATTTATTTTGTTTGAAAACTTTTCAGAGTCATATTTATGTTGTTTTGTTAGAAATAAATATGCAGGTTTCATAAACTCAGATTGTTTTTGAGCAATCATGAGTTAAATTAAATTTCATTCATTCCAATAGGGTTAATACTGGTAATTATCAGATTTTATAAATTTCATAGCATTACATATTAAAATAAAATTTCTCAGCAATATTGAAAAAAATGTATACATATTTTGCTTCATAGTTTTTTGTTGTTGTTGGTGTGCTTCATGTGTATGTGTCTCAGTTTTTTAATAATCAAAAAGGGATAAATGCACTACAAAGATGTTGATAACATGGTAAGTTTTTTCACATTCACTCAGTAATGAGAAGTTGCTGATCAGATACAATATGGTTTTAATTGAGAACTATTAAGCTATGACTGTTTAATAAAATAACAATTCTTCAGGTTCAAACGGACCTGGAATGAGAAAATCATATGTGGACTTTGAATGCATTATGAGGGTTAGGAATATTTAGATATTTCTAATGGAAAAAGTCAAAATACTGATGAAGAACATTGCATTTCCTCAGTTGGCATCTGTCTGCTTATATTAACAAGCATTTGCTTAATGCAATAAATGAATAAAAAAGGATTTAAATATTCATAGTTTGGCTTGAGTCTGAGAACAATGAAATCATTATTTTAGCAGGTTCTTTATATAAATGAATCATTTATAAGTCATGATCAGAAATCATGTTCTGCAGCGTTCCTACATGAGTTTCTGTGTGATTTGAGCTTGCGGGGTTGGACGCGTCTGAGGATGGGGTTTCTGCCGTCTCGTCCGTCTGCTCTTTGGTGTCTTGAGCTGAAGGTTCCTCCAGATCCGGCTTCTTTTGGACCAAAGGGAAGAACATGAACAGGAGACGTTAACACGAGATCACGCAGGTCAAGCACAACTTCACTGATTCACGTTTCTCAAACCGAACGTCTCCACATTAAAGATTAAGAGATGATGGAAAGCCCTTTGGTGTAAAAACACGCTTAAGAAAAGCAAGCAGAACTTCCTCCAGAGCAGCGGTGAATTATACATGAGCGCAGCTTCATAAACACAACACACACTTCAAGAGACGACTTGCACACTTCAGGAAAAACATCTGCACTGTATCTGCTAACAAGAACGAGAAATAACTCGATACGGATCGGACGTGACCACACAAACATCTACAACACAACTGCCTTCATTCAATCTTATTTAACAATCATTTCTTACGATAAATGACACTTGCTTTTATTTAATTGATCTAATGCAATGCAATTCACACACGCATGAACTGAATTGATCTGAATAATGACACTGTTATCTTCTGTAGAGCTGCTTATAGATAAAAAATTTAATTTTTTTCATAATTGGTGAATTTCACACACTTATTGAACTGAATCAACACTAACTTGATTCAGTTGAATCAACTGAATTGTTTGCATCATCGATTCTGTTATTGTCCGGTTTATTTTTGTGAACTACTTTGCAATAATATATGTAGCGCTGTTAAAATAAAAATAAAAAGGTTCAGGATTGCACTGCATCATGCTAATTTCTTCCTTTAAAAAAGGCCAGGAAAGTGATTCGCTTTACAGTTATTGAAATGAACTGAATCAACACTGAACTGAAATGAGCTGAATAATGATATTGTCTTTTCAGCGTTGCTTTACAGCAGAATCTTAATTAGTCTCATATCTGCTGAAGTTTGCATCATTGATGCAATCAATTTCAGCTATAAGCAGCTCTGCAGAAGACAACAGAGTCATTATTCAGCTCAATTCAGTTCATGCATGTGTGAATGTCAATGCATTAGATGACAAAGCAAAGCTAGTGACATTTATTGTAAGGAAGTTGCACAAACACACTCTGGTTTTTACAAAGACATCTGAAGACGAAAGTTGAATCAACTGACTTTTTTGCATCATTGATTCTGTTATTTATTTATTAACAGCCTGTTTTAAAAAAAGTGCTGTAAAAAATGTGCATTTACTTTATATGCATTTGTTTTTGGGTCCTATAACTCAACAGTTATCATTCAATCTAAAAGGATTCAGGTTTGCATTGCATAATGATCATTTCTTTTTTGAAAAAGCCAGGAAAGTGTGTTTGTGCATATGTCCTTATAATAAATCACACTTAAATATGCAATATCAATATCCAGAGATGTTTGGGTCACTGTAACTCAACAGGTTTCATTCAATCTGAAACGAATATGCACTGCATAATAATCAGTCCTTCTAATGAGCCAAATGTGAGTGTGTTGTTTCATGCAAACATGTAGAGTTCAGCATTATTCCCAGTGTTTCCATCAGTCAGAATAATCACTGGATCTCCATCATTAAGCAATCTTTTTATATAAAGTTTTTTATATAGTGTGTTGATATTGTTGCTATGCAGTTGCTAAGGTGTTCTGAGTGGTTGTTGGTGTGTTGCAAATGCTTACTAATATAATAGTGAAGCTTGACTTGGAAAATGTCACTAGAAATGGGGAAAATGGATTTCGACTCGTTTGGCTCTTATGAAACTTAATTTATTATAGTAACCGTAGTTCAACTATAGTATATGTAGAAAAACGCAGTAACCACAAATGTACTATTATTTTAACTATATCTGGGTAACACTTTATTTTAAGGTGTCCTTGTTACACGTTACATTAATTGTTATTATACTATTATAATAATAATTAATTATGCACTATTGCATGCAAGTAACCCTAAGCCAAACCCTAATAACCCTAACCATATCGTAAGTACATGTAGTTAATTAATATTACTCAGTACTTAAATGCATAATTAAACTGTAACAATGACACCTTAAAATAAAGTGAAATTTGTAGTAAAGGGAATAATAATAGTAATAATAATAATCAATTTGGCAAAATAAATCACGGATAGTACAGTTTTGCTTATGCAACAACACTAGTTTTTGTCCTGTAGAGAATACAAGTGGTGTTTACCTGTGAAAACAGTGTTGATACTGTTGCTATTTGGCCCTTATGAAACAATCAATTTACTATAGTACCCATAGTTCAACTATAGTACAGTATATGCACAGTATAACCACAAATTTACCATGGTTGACATTATTTGAACTATAAAATTTGGGAATAATAATCATACATTTGGCAAAAATAATCATAAATTTGGTAAAATGCACTTATGTAACACCATAGTTAGTTTTCACAAGGGAGATATGAGCAAAAATACACGAGTAAGTAATCCGAATGAGAACGAAATAAATGCAAATCTGATTAAAACACTGTAAATGACTATAAAATCTGTTTATGAAAAATATGCACGTAAGGAAAGTCGTTTCAGAGGTGGAGCAGGTGATGAAAGACTATGATGCACTGATGAATGAGCCACAATAAGAACACGAATTAAGCAAATAGGGTCGATTCATGTTTTTCAATGCTGAGTTCCCAGCTCACTATGCACCAGATGCTTTTACGCGGTTTGTAGCCCACTACGTCATGTGGCCCATCCATCCATCCATCATCCATGTCATGCACATCAGCTCAGTGCCAGTGAGTGGCTCAAGGGCAGCGGATCCGCTGTCACAAGCCCAAGTAGGACACATGAATCACGGAGCGCCGCGCAGCTGCGTGTTTTTGGTAGTTGCGCCGCATCCAGCGCGGCATCAGAGTTTAAATCTCACTGTCAGACGCGCAAGAAGACAGAACCCCTGCGGTATAAGCGCTAGCGCACGCATGCCGCATCAATCCTCTGTATTTACATGCGATCGCGCCACACGTGTGAAGCTGCAAAGCAAACAGATCCAGAGCAGGCGAGGCGATGCCCACCCAGCCCTGGCATCCACTGCTGCTGCAGACGCACAAGAATCACCGCGCTG